GATACAACCCCCCCACCCAGCGAATGGCAGATACAATATAGGGGAGGTGCTGTAGACTCGGCAGATGGACGGAACAATTGGGTTCAGGGTTTACACAGCGGATGGAAACCCGACCACTAAAATCTCATTTCATAAGTTAGTTAGAATCGTTTTATATCTCATGAAGATAATCCCCGGCCGTCCCACCGTGAAAGCCCTTGTTTAGGTACTTCCTGTTATCGAGTGACAACACTCTGTAACTGTTTCCCCGATGTTTTTCTTTTTCCTGTTGTCACCCTGGCTTTCCGATGGAGACTACAAGTGGCCATTCCATCACACATTAGACATGGATCACTGTTGTCACCATTAGGAAACCCGCCCTGAGATATGCTGCGCAGCCATCGCTGGAGTGCGTGTAGACAGGAAGTGCAGGAGATCAGCAGCACAAAGGAGAGAGAAAACAGATGACAACTCTTTATTAGGGCTGCGGAAATTAACGATTCATTTCTCGATTAATCGTTAAACTTTTTGATCGATTAAAATTCTTTTTGATCGCTAATGAAAACACTCTCCCCCGGTTTCCGGGAGTCCTGTCGGAGATCCGGTGACGTCACGGACATCGACGTCACCGGACTCCTCCCCCTTCCACAAGTGGCTCCGTCGGCTAACGAAGGGAAGGGGGGAGGAGTCAGGTGACGTCGATGTCCGTGACATCACCGGACTCCTCCCCCCTCTAATTAGGCCCCGTTCACACTGAGCGATTTATCGGGCGGTAATTCCCGCGATATCGCTCTCCAATGCTTGGCAATGGGGCAAAGGGTCCTGCTGTCGCGGGTCGTGTGTCGCTACAGCAGGACCCTTTTTGGAGCGGATTTTGCCGCGATTCTAGCTTGCTCAATGCAAGCATTTGCGCGATATCGCGCAAAGTGCAAATTGCGCGACAAACGCGCTATTTGCGAATCGCGCAGTGTGAATGGGGCCTTAGCCCACGGTTCATTTTATGACTTCATTGCTGTGCTGTATGTGTATAGGTCATTGCTGTGCTGTATGTGTATAGGTCATTGCTGTGCTGTATGTGTATAGGTCATTGCTGTGCTGTATGTGTATAGGTCATTGCTGTGCTGTATGTGTATAGGCCAATGTAGTTGGATCTGTCTGTGCGTTACAATTAATCAAACACGAAAATGTTAATCAGTACCAGCCCTACTCTTTATGATATCTAGTGAAGAGAGCAAACGTAATGTCTTACAATTTAAGGACAATCACTGATATGGAAGGTTTGCAGAGATGGGAGTGAGGGGTCTGGGCGTAGCAGAAGTGTGGCTTTTGGGGAACCACAACTCCCAGCAGTTGTCCTCAGGTTCTGCATGGCAGGACACACTTGTAGTTCCTTAATAGCTGGAGCCCGGCAGGTCTTCCCTGTCCTATGAGTGGGTCTCGCTTGCCTCTCACATGGGCGGCATGTTACTGACACTGGGGTGGTGGCCCCTGGGGAGAATGTTACTGACACTGGCGTGGTGGCCCCTGTGGAGCATGTTACTGACACTGGGGTGGTGGCCCCTGGGGAGAATGTTACTGACACTGGGGTGGTGGCCCCTGGGGAGAATGTTACTGACACTGGGGTGGTGGCCCCTGGGGAGAATGTTACTGACACTGAGGTGGTGGCCCTGTGGAGAATGTTACTGACACTGGGGTGGTGGCCCATGTGGAGAATGTTACTGACACTGGGGTGGTGGCCCTGTGGAGAATGTTACCGACACTGGGGTGGTGGCCCCTGTGGAGAATGTTACCGACACTGGGGTGGCGGCCCCTGGGGAGAATGTTACTGACACTGGGGTGGTGGCCCTGTGGAGAATGTTACTGACACTGGGGTGGTGGCCCCTGTGGAGAATGTTACTGACACTGGGGTGGTGGCCCCTGTGGAGAATGTTACTGACACTGGGGTGGTGGCCCTGTGGAGAATGTTACCGACACTGGGGTGGCGGCCCCTGTGGAGAATGTTACCGACACTGGGGTGGTGGCCCCTGTGGAGAATGTTACTGACACTGGGGTGGTGGCCCCTGTGGAGAATGTTACTGACACTGGGGTGGTGGCCTTTGTGGAGAATGTTACTGACACTGGGGTGGTGGCCCCTGTGGAGAATGTTACTGACACTGGGGTGGTGGCCCTGTGGAGAATGTTACTGACACTGGGGTGGTGGCCCCTGTGGAGATGCCGTTTCCAGCGAATGAGCTTCAGGTTGCAGCGGTTTGGGTGATGGAGGCCGCAGGAGTCCGTAGCGCAGACGCGCGGACAGACTGCATTTGGCAGATGTGCCGTTTGCTGTGTGTATATAAAAGTTACTGTATACAAAGACTAAGCCCAGGACAGAGGGTGAGAGGCGCCTCGGCAGGGGCCACCACCCCAGTGTCAGGCCATGCGATATCTGCATAACTATTTCCTTATTTAAACAGAACATGCTCTGGTGAGCCTGGGAACTTTCCATTCGCAGGGCCCTCTGGGGGGTTTGCGGTCACTGTGCACAACAGCTGCGGCCCCGAAAATCAGAGCCAAGCGTGTGCATGGGTCAGGAAGCGTTTCAATTCCCATTCAGCGCATTGTAGATGACCAAAACTGGCAGCAGCATGGCGCAGTTTGATGCCGCTCTTCGCGTTTGGGCTGCACCCCCACCTCTGTGCGCACATTAGAGGCCGTTGTTTTTGGTTGTGATAAAATGCCCATTATGTATCTGGAGACCAGACAGAGCTGTGATTGGGGATGAGAATGGGGGGTTCTGTCTCCGGCCGCCAGTATTTTTAGAATCTGGGTTCCCCTTGTAGCTGAACGGGGAGACATATTTTCCCAGTGAGGACGGCGCATTCCTATCATGTGACGGGCGTAATCAGACCGTTCCTGGGGCCGCCATGACTGGTCGCGGCCCAACACAGGCTCCATTGTGCACAGGAATAGCATGTGAGTCCCATTGACTGGTTTCAGTCTTTGAACCCGGTCGAGGTCACGGGTCATTGGGTTGCAGCGGAGGACAGAGGCGTGCTGTTATCGGCCAATTTGCGGTTGCTCCGGGACTTTCCAGAGCAGCGCCATGCTCGGGAATCCGGCGGGTCACATGTCTTGCTAATAAAAGCGCGGAGAGACCCATGGGCTGCGCAGTTTGTGTAGACGCATTGTTCTAGCGTACAAGATGGCTGCAGGGGAAGAGACTGCGATTCCACCGTGGGTGAGATAGAGTGGAGATAGATCAGACGTGGTCTACGTTCAGAGAACGCACATCTACACATCACCGTCTGCTGCCGGGAGTTTCTGAAGTGGTTTATGATGCGCGGTGCACACAGCGAAGTGAGTGGCATCAAGGTGGGGTTCACATTTACTTTGGTGGTCTTCTGGGGAACATCTGACAGAGCGAGCTTTCTTTCCTCTTCATCTTGGCGGCAGTGTATGGAAACACATCATGAAATACTCAGATGGGTCTGTTCCTGGGCCAGGCCGAGGGGTAGGTGGGAGAGGCAATCAACTTAGGTGCTTCAGCAGAACGGGGGGGTGCAGAACAGCAGCACCAACAACCGACTGTTGAAGTAGATCGCAGCTTATGAAGGGGGAGGGTTGCACTTTGGCCTTTGTGCCTTGAGTGTAGAAGGACCTTGTCCCAGCAACTAGTCCCAGGACCAGAAATGTTGGGCCAAGTACTATAAACCATCTCAGCCAATCAGAACTTATCTGCTGTGTACTCATTCCTTTGTGCATTGTACTACCAAACGTTTCAATTGGTTTAAGATGAATGTAAGTTCTCTCTGGCCATGTGGTGAGGACATCTTTGATGGCGGTGTTCTATAGATGATGTTGACTTCTCTCGTCTCTCCTAGGCAGTGGACCCATCCAGCTTTGGCAGTTCCTCTTAGAGCTTCTGACAGACAAGTCATGCCAGTCCTTCATCAGCTGGACGGGGGATGGCTGGGAGTTTAAACTGTCTGACCCAGATGAGGTGAGTCTTCATCCCTCAGTATTCCTCCATTGTCTTCATCCCTCAGTATTCCTCCATTGTCTTCATCCCTCAGTATTCCTCCATTGTCTTCATCCCTCAGTATTCCTCCATTGTCTTCATTCCTCCATTGTCTTCATCCCTCTGTATTCCTCCATTGTCTTCATCCCTCAGTATTCCTCCATTGTCTTCATCCCTCAACATTCCTCCATTGTCTTCATTCCTCAGTATTCCTCCATTGTCCGTGGAAGGGGAGGGGGTGGGGATGGTCAGGGAAGACAAAGTATAAGTAGATTGAAGTTCAGCTTTAAGTCAGACAACCCTCTCTTGGAATATCACGTGTGTCTCTGTCCTGCAGGTCGCCCGGCGTTGGGGGAAAAGGAAGAACAAGCCCAAGATGAACTACGAGAAGCTGAGCCGCGGCCTGCGATACTACTACGACAAGAACATCATTCACAAGACGGCCGGCAAGCGCTACGTCTACCGCTTCGTCTGCGACTTGCAAAGCCTTCTGGGATACGTGCCGGAGGAGCTCCACGCCATGCTGGATGTTAAACCGGACAACGACGAATAGAAACACTGTCAGAGTCTTATCGGGACAAAGACCAAAGCCCCTCCCCTTTTAGGAATGTGCCGGACGGACACAAAGGATTCTGGGAAAGAGGGGTCTCGCCACTGGCCGGCGGGATTAAGAGACGCGGCTACTTCAGATGTCAGCTGGCCGTAAAGCTGAACCAGGACCAAGAGAAGGGCAAGTCGATGGCTTGTTCCATTCACCATTCCCCACGCGGTGCCAGTATTTCCCGACTGATTATTTGTATCCTTAAAAAGTTACAATGTGCGCAAAAAAAAAAAGAGAAGCAGCTAAAAGCACAGAGTAGCAGCGGCCGCGGCGGATCCGGAGAATCATTACCGCCAGGCTCGGAACCCCCCCTTAAGCCTTGTGCAGGTTTGGTTCTGGATGTGACCGCAGAGCTCCATTGTTCATTGAATCTTCTCAGGACACGAGTACAAACGCAGCGACCAAACGGCGGCCAATCCCTCGCCAGTATTTCACCGCGTCAAATGCCCTAAGCCCCCCCCCCCCCATGCCT